GGGCAGGCTTTTGGCCGTCCATGGGCCGCGACCCAATTTTATACTCTTATCAATGTGAATGTTAACCTGTCAATGTGAATATTCACATTGTCAACGGGCCGGACCAGGCCCGCCCCAGGCCGCCCATGGGCCGCAGGCGGGTTTTGCGCCGCTACGGAACGGGGGCCAATTTTACACTCTTATTAATGTAAATGTTAACATGTTAATGTGAATATTCACATTGTCAACGGGCCGGGCCGGGCTGAATCGGGCCCGCCCTAGGCTGCTGTCTAGTTTTATACTCTTATCAATGTGAATGTTAACATGTCAATGTGAACATTCACATTGCCAACAGGCCGGGCCGGGCCCGTGGGCAGGCCGTGGGCGGGTTTCGGGCAGCTACGAGGCGCGGGCTAATTTTACACTCCTATTAATGTGAATGTTAACATATCAATGTGAATATTCACATTGTCAACGGGTCGGGCCCGCCCTGGCTCGCGGGCGGGTTTCGGGCCGTCCACGGGCCAATTTACATTCCTACAAATGTGAATTTAAAAATATGAATGTTCACATCATTAACTTGCTAATCGTTGAAAAAATATTTATAAGGGTATCAAAATTAAATATAAGGGCATAAGTGTCCAAGAAAATAGTGTAAATCAAGAAAATGGACTTTATGGAATAAAATTATACATACATGGGACTAAATGGGTTAAAAAATTCCTTCATGGACTTCTTGGGTTAAAACACTTCTAAATTGGACTTATCAATAAAAATCCCTAAAAGGAATATTCACTTTATTTAGCTCTAGTTTTAAAAAATAATTTTAAGATTATTTTATTATTTTATTTTTTATATTTTAATATTTTTAATGATTTTTTTAATATTTTAAATAATTTTTTATTTTTATTTTGGATACATCTAACATAAATATACTTAAAAAAATATAATATGTGTGAAAAAAATCTTTAAAAAATACACTAAAATATCAAAAAATATAAAAAAATATGAAAATTCATTACCTTTTTCGTATTTTTGTGTATTTATTAATTTTTTAAAATATTTTCTCACAAATATTTTATTATTTAAATACATTGCTTAATTTTAAAAATATTCACTAAAAATAAAAAATACAAAAAATAAAAAACTTAATTTTCAGAAAATTAAATTTAGAAAACTGAAACCAAACACACTGATTAATATTTACAATAATATTTCGTAGCTCGATTTTTGCGTGGCTTGAGTGGCCTGACTTTTCACTTTCAACCTCTCTCCCTTTGTCTCCTTGCTCTGTTTCTTCTCTTCTTCTTTTACTGTTCATCTCTTTCTCTCCTTCAACAATTTACGATGATAATTGGAGAGCTTTCCCAGATTGGCACTATATTTTAGTTGTTCATCTCTCCATTGATTTGTTCATGTCTCTATTGAAAGAACTGTTGATCAATAGATTTGTTTATCTCTCTCCATTGAAAGAGAGCTGATCTAGTTAATATATTTTCATCTCTCTCCAAATTCTCTGAACAAATCAAAATTGTTGTTCATCTCCTAGATTGGCAAAAAACATTGAAGATTAGTTTACGATTAATCAATTGGAGAGCTAACAAATCAAAACCAAATTAAAAATTTGGGAAAGCTAACAAATCAAACCAAAACCAATTCAAACCCAAATCTGGAAAAGCTAACAAACCAAACCCAAAAATCTGGGAAAAGAAATCAAACCCAAATCAGTCAAACCCAAAAATCAAAATTAAAACCAATAAGCCACAGACCAAATCATACAAAATCAATCAAACCCAAAATAGAGGGGGAAGAGAAGGATCTCGCCTTGCCTCGTTGTAGACTTTGACGGTGATCTGGATTGTGGATGTCGGAGAAGGACAAGGAGGAGGCTTTTGGAGTAGAGAAGAGAGAGTGAGAGAGAGCCAAATCAAACCCAAATAAAAAATATGGGAAAGCTAACAAATCACCCTCCTCTGTCTTGTCCTTCGCTTTGTCTTCTCCTTCTCTTCTTCTGTCTTCCTCCTCCTTTGGTCTTCTCCTTCTCCTATCTGTTCAGAGACAAAACATAGGAGAAGAGAAAAAGAAAAGAGAGAGAAAAAAAAAAATCTACCCAAAACGACGTCGTTTTTGGTAGATTCGAGCCGTTCGGGCCGAATTGTTTCGAGCTACGAAACATTATTGTAATATTTATTTTAAGGTTGGTTATAAAAATTTAATTAGTAAATGAATTAAAAATATTAGCAATTTAAAAAAAATATGTTAGAAAAATTAGTAATTTTGCATCTTGAATAGTAAGAAAATAAATTTGAATAAAAAATTTCCTCTTAGAAAAAATTAAGGGATTTGCCTAAGGTCCCAAAAATAGTTGGGCTGCCTGTGCATTACTATCATTATCTAAAATTTTAATCACTAAAAATAGCAAGTCATGTCTATAGCATTTATAGTTAGAGTATCTACATCAGATTTTTTACAATGACTTTGAAACTATTGTAGAAAGCAAAAGCTATAAATACGTGCTCTATTAGATTCTCTATAACAATCATTCATTTTGATTTTATTATAGTGTCTCACCTGATTAAGCGAGACACTATTTATAGATTAATCTATTTTTTATTATATTTTCACACCTTTATCTGTTCCTTTCTTTATTTCTTTCATTATGTGTTACCCAAAAAGAAACCAAAAAGAACTGAACTGGAGCAAAATTGGGCTAAAATACCATGGCCGGTCGTTTGGCCGGACGACCACCCCGGCCAAATTTTCTTTTTCTGCCGGGCCAAAAACCTGTCCAGCTAACCAATATATTTGTCGGTCGGCCAAAGGCCTCTGCAACTTGCCAATTTTTTTTCTTGCAGTTTTGGAGCTGTTTTGCTACTGTTTTGGCTTTAGACTACATCTTTTTAACATCATCTGAGCTTCCAAAGAGATAGATTAAATTGATATGGATAAAACATAATTATAACCATTAGAATGTAGCCGTTTAAAAAACATGACAGTTCGAAAAAATATATTTAAATTGAAAAAGATAAAAGAATAAAAAATAATATTTTAATGAAATAGAATTTTAGAATACAGAGTTTGATGAAGTATGTACATAAAAAAGAGACTAGCTAAAGTATAAAAATAAATTTTAAATTATAATTTGATCTAAAATTTATTAAGATTGATACAGATGCTCTTATAAACGACATTTTATGAACGAGCATAAGACATTAATAGTTTCAGTACACTCTTTTTATGCGTGGAGTAGATTTTTCATGTTAATTTCGTTTTTTAACTAATATTTTAAAAAAATAACCTTCCATTTACAAAACAATAATAAGTATTTAATTTTTTAATTTTTGTTTTCTTTTTCCCCATGTGCTGGAAATTTTGATTTGACTAATTCTTTTGTATATGTTAAATAAGTAACGAATTTGATTTTAAACTTTTAAGATAATGTTCAAAAAATTTTAAAAATAAAAATTTAACTATTTTTAGAATTCAAAATCTCATTTTAAACTTGATGCCGAAAAGTGATTATTTTCTAGACTTTACTCCGTATAGCTTGAATGTTGCGCACGCACACGAATAGAAAGGAGAGACTTTTTCTCAGTTTATATAGTGGATTGGACCATATTATTAGATTTATGGAGTTTATTATATATTTTGTTTTGATAAATTGAATTGTATGTAGAGTTCGTCAAATAATTTATATTTGTAAAAAATTACGTTGATCGGATATCAGTAGTTTCTTAATCGAAATCTATTTTTTTAATAATAAATATGATTTTAAAATAAATTATTAACAAAAATATATTGAGATCAAAGGACTATCGATATTCAATCAATATAATTTTTTCTTCATACACAAACACTTAATAAATTTTATATATTAAACGATTTAAATTATTAAAATAAAATCTTTAATAAACCCTACAAAACCTAACAATAATCTTGTAGTCCACCACGTGGACTGGATAGAAATCTCCAATAAAAAGTGATGGGTAATGCTAGGGATACTAAATTTTCTACCAAACAAATGACCAAATGTCTCACATGGGTGTGGGGTCCGCAATTTTGTAGGCCCCACACCCATGTGAGACATTTGATCATTTATTTGGTAAAAAATTTGGGATCTCTAGCATTTTCCAAAAATAATAGAAAGCAATTCAGTGATAGAAAGCAATTCGACAATGGGGCGTTTTGGCAACATAGATGTTTTGGGAAGAAAAACAAAAAAAAAAAAAAAAAAAAAAAAAAAAAAAAAAGGTTAAAAGTTTATTTTTTTATTAATTTTAGGTCATATTACTTTTCACATTAAATAATGTAAAAAATTAAAAAATTAAAAACTTAATTTTTTACCATTTTTTCAAAACATCTCATAATAAAAAACTAGTTTTTTGATATTTTAATTTTTTTAAGTTACAACTTGTTTGGTTTCAGTTTTCAAAAAACAGTTTTTGAAAAAAATTTTATTTTTATTTTTTCTTATTTTAATATTTTCAATGAATTTTTTAGTATTTTCAGTAATTTTTTTAATTTTTAAACACACTTAACATAAACACATTTAAAAAGTATAATATCTGTGAAAAAAATCTTTAAAAAATATACTAAATACCAAAAAATAAAAAAATTTAATATATTTTCGTCTTTTTATGTATTTATTAATTTTTTAAAATTTTTTTCATAAATTTTTTACTATTTAGATACATCTAAGTAAAATATATCTAAAAAAGTAAAAAATTACTTAAAATTTAAAAAATATTCACTAAAAACCAAAAAAACACAAAAAAATAAAAAACTCAATTTTCAAAAAATTAAAACCAAACACACTAATTACTTTCTTACTTTTTTTTTTTACACAAAAAAAATTAAAAAAACACAAAAAAAAATCAAAAATCATCTTTTTACCACTTTCCAAAACACTACAATGACAGATCAGAAAAAAGAAGACGTCCGTCAAGTAACGGCGAAGAAGTAAAAGCAAACGTCCGTCAAACATTCCGTCTCCCAGTGTTAAGTCCTCTGTTACTGGTTCAGTTCTGCAGTTCGCTCTCTGCACGAAAAAGCATTCAAATCTCTCTCGCTCTCTCTCTCTCTAGACTCCGATGCTTTATTCCTCTGTTTCTCTCTCTAGATTCTGTGCATTTAATGCTCGCTCTCAGGCTTGATCGAAATCCAAAAGCAATAGATTTGTATTCGATTCGGCTCATCGATTCAGGCACTTTTATAATTGTTCGAGAAATGAAGATTGAATCTCGGAGTGGTTGATTCTAGGTTTTTTGTTTTTTACATCTCGTCTTCAATGGCGATTCGAGGCATAGATTTCAAGTGGTGCGTACGAATCTTTCTTTGAATTGAAGATTTTGCAATTTTGTGTGCATCAAATGAGATTTGATTTAAATTCTTGCAGGTACGATGGGTTTTTCTTGTCAATGCTAGCGACAAGTATGTATCCTTTGATTGGACATGTACAGGGTTTCATATTTTTTCTTTTCCAATTAGAATTTCTTGAGTGTTTTTTTTCAATATTGTGATTTGTTTGCCCACATTTTAATTTTCTATATAGTTCTTTCTTTGGATTTTTATTTATTTATTTATTTTTTTGAGTTGATTCTTTAACGATTTGACTATTAGAATCATCGTTGCAATCAATTGGAAGCGATATCATCCTTGTAAATACCCTCTGCACATATGGATTGTGGTGAGTATCGTCAATCTTTTAGTGGATAAAATTTGGATCTGGTTGGTATTATTTCTGGTTAGATTTTGTTGAATTTTAGGTCTAATTAATGTCATGTCGTGGCTTTATTGGATTAGGTTGACTACACTACTGTGTTTGTGTTTCGGCTCTTGATGTTCGTAGATAATGGGCTTGCTGCTGGAATGGGACTGTAAGGCCCTTAATCTTGGACTCTGAGGTTATTATTAGTTTTTATATACTACTTTGTGGGTATCTTATTTTTGAACTGGAACAAGTTTTGGTTTGTCATTTTGTCTAGTTTGATCAGCCTATTGGGTATTAGCAGTCATTTGAGTTTTTCCATATTTGGTAATCCCCAGGGTATGACACCTTAGGCCATCTCCAGCCCTTACTTAAAATTTTAGTAAAAACTTTATTTGAAATTGATATGAACTATTACAATGGACAAACTCAAATTTAAGCATAAAATTGAGTAAAAGCTTCACTAATGGCAAGTAGTAAATAGCGACGAAAATTTTTAGTAAGCATTTGAGTCTCCCTCGATTTGGGTAAAGATCAGAGTAAAACTCAATTTGGCATAAGTTTGGGTCAAGGAGTGGAGGGCGTTTTGAGTTATTTTTACCCAAATTTAAGTTTGAGTCAAGGATTGGAGATGCCCTTGTAGTTTCACAGTTACAAGTCATTTTCTCATTACTTTGGTCTCTCATTTTCTGACTTTTTTTAAAATAAGGAAGAGTTTAGTAATGCAAAGCTTTGTAACGTGTACAATGCTGTTGTCATGTCACTCAAACACAGGCAGTTGATGTGCATTTTTATTCATTGAGACGCAAAGCTTTTTTTAATCCATTTGCCAAACTTTTTATTATGTACGTGAAGGATTTTGTTTGCGAAATCTTATTTTAAAGTCTGTAGATCTGTTTTAGGGTGTTCCTTTACCCAATATTTTTAAGGATCTTATTTACGCCAAAATTGCACGCAATCAGCTCTCATGTGTCAGTTTTAATTGATTTTAGGGATTTTGGGTGGCAGCAGAGATATGCACGTTTTTGTGGACGAGTAGTGGTTCTTTCAAGTCTTTCTCTGCTACTCTATCCATTTCTGTGGACTTGGACTATTATTGGTACCCTGTGGTTCACTAGTGCAAGAAACTGTGTAAGTTCTGCGTTTATTGTCTTCCCATTTGTGGGAAATGTTGTGCCTAAAATGAGTAAACGTTTGTAAATCTTGTAGTTGCCTGAAGAAGGCCAGAAATGGGGATTCCTTATTTGGTTGCTTTTCAGCTACTGTGGACTCCTTTGCATTGCTTGCAAGTCTATGGGGAAGGTTAGTCATGCTTTTTATAATTTTAAACTTTCTGTATGTTTTTTAATAACTCTTAAAGTAACTCTTTACCCAAAGACTTGGGTAAAATCTCTTTTCAGGTTTTGTATTCTGTATGTCACATGCTTTGTTTTGGCCTGTATACTCACAGCAAATTTCCAGGAACATTCATCTCTGTCATTCACAATTTATGTGCACTTTGGCCTTTATTTTTGGACCTTTTTTGCAGTGGTTAATACGAAGACAAGCACACTTACTACGGGCTCAACAGGGTATTCCTATTTCAGAATATGGGGTAAGTTCTAGTGGTATCATTTTTCAGAGTTGTTCTGTATTTGCATGAATTAATTATGTGTTGTTGTGTGGCTTAGGACATTCACTGCTGGTTAATTTAAATTTTAAAGTAAAAAAGTACTTTTTATTTTATTGTTATGCAAATAATGCAGATAATGACCTTTTAAATTGAGAGAGAGAGAGAGAGAGCAGGTGGTTCATGGGTTTTGATCACTCATCCTTTATGCCCCTCTATTAGTGAAGGAAGATAAAAATCTCACTGGTCTAAGGGCCTGAATTTATAATTCATGGAGTGGCGACAGATTTTCATGCAACCAGGTGGTTCATGGGTTTGATCACCTACCCTTTATGCCCTTCTATTAGTGAAGGAAGATAAAAGTCTCACTGGTCTAAGGGCCTGAATTTATAATTCATGGAGTGGCAACAGATTTTCATGCAACTCACCAAGGGGAAGTGTGAAGAGTAGCTTTGTAATTGGGAATAATATGAGCAAGTGGTTCATGGGTTTGATCACCTACCTTTTTTGCCTGCTATTAGTGAATCTCAAGATCAAACTTCAAACAGTATTAAAATGAGAGTATAAAATATGTGATGTGTATCTCATATGAACATTCATGCTGCTCTGGTAGAAATATACAAAGCTGCACTAAATTGCCTCACTTCTCTCTCCACATCCTGATATTGTAGGTCATCTAAGAAGCATGGATATGGATACGATATGATACAATGATACGACAAAACTTAAAAAAATAGCATACTGGTACGGCCAGGATACATTTGTAAAAAAATTTTTTTTTTTTTTAATTATTAGTGAGTTACACATAAGCTAAAGAATGTTGAGAAAGCACACTGTAATTTTATAATGCAAAATACTAACCTTTAAGAATTAGGTATTACTAATTCACTATATTTTTATCAAAGAATTAAACAAAGTATTAGAAAAATATTCTTGTATTTATCCTTGCAATTATATTATATTATAATGTCATGCAAGAAGTGCTACAATTCTAATTTCGTAAAACAAGTAAAACGTGACTTAAAGTATCCAATACTTCAAAATTAATTAAGAAGTATCTGATACTTCTAATAAGTATTTAATATGTATCTGTGAGTATCCAAAGAGTATCGATATCCGATACGGATATGTCAACCTTTTTGAAGTATCCGTGCTTCATAGTAGGTCATGACCAACACAAGGGACTAAGGACCATCTTGTGTTTCTTTGACTGTTGTCGGACTCTAGTTAATTTCACAATTGGGTTTGAATTTAGTTAAATGCAAGCATGGATAATGACCACAAGGGATTTTTTGGACTTACAAAAAATAAAAATCAAATCATGGTTGAAGCAATTTGATAAGGAAAGTGCAATGCCCTACTGTTTGTGAAAATTAAAAGAACGGTTCTTAGATGCTTCTAAGAAGTTTTAGAGAGCCTATATATGTACATATATATATTATTGACAATGTGTGTCTTCCTTGAGTATTAACTGAAATGAGGTGTCCCAAAATTGAGAAGTAATCATTTTATCTGCATTTCTTACACCAAAAACTGTGATTTAAAGAAAATTACACGGTTCACTGGAAAAGGTTTCACATTTCTAATCATGGCAAATATTTTGTGGCCATATATTATCAGTGTCCATCAAACTTAAGAAGTCTATGTAAATGAGTTACAAGAGAATATATGTAAAGCTAATGTGATTGAGTCTGACAAATTGAAGTGGAACAATGTGAACACCTGTGCTTCTGCACTCACTGCTTTGGATAGTAAAGTTGAACATTAAAATGGCAAGAGGGAAAATATGTGATCCATCCTGTTGGATTTCAGCATTTATTAGGCCAAGACTAGTATAATAAAATGCAATGCTTGTTGCTTTTTTAACCCAATTTCCAACTTAATGGGTCTTAGAAATGCATGTTCATTATGTTTGTTGAGGTTCTCTTATCTGATGTTGTGTAATGTCCATTGAGAATCTGATCTACCATGTTGGAGTGCAGCTTAAATTAGTTGTTCTATCTAATCCATGCAGGTTGTAGCAATAGTAAGCTTTCTACAATTATGTAAATTTCCTACTTATAACATATTTTGAGAGGTTAAAGCAAATTTTGTTCATCCAATCACATGCTATAAGAGTATTTCACCTTTTCAGGTACTGGTTGACATGGTTCGTGTACCAGAATGGGCATTTGAAGCTGCTGGCCAAGAGATGAGAGGCATGGGCCAAGAGGCGGCTTACCATCCTCAACTATACTTGACTACAGCTCAGGTATCATCAAAATTAAATAATTTACCAAGGCTGGAACTGGTCCTACCTACACTTTTGTGTGTTTTGTATGTCGTAGTCTTTGGTCTTGCCCTCATCATATGATACCCACATAATAATAGTAATTTTTGGTGGACTTGGTGCTTCAGAAATTCCAACAGATATTGTAGGTAGAACATGTCTATGCTGTGTTGTCAAAAGTTCAGAAACTAACTGTGCCTCAAGAAAGAGAATGGTGCTTTGTCTATTACCCATTTAAAGGTGTATTAGTCGCCATTTTCCATCTGTAGCACGGCCTCATAGAAGATTCCAATGTCATTTTCTATTTTTATAAGTTCGGCATCATAATGCATAGAAATTTTGTTGTGGAATGGATGCAGAGAGAAGCAGTAGAGGCACTTATTCAGGAACTCCCAAAGTTCAGGCTGAAGGCTGTTCCTACTGATTGCAGTGAATGTCCCATCTGTCTAGAAGAATTCCATGTGGGAAATGAGGTAAATATATCATTGGCCCAACATATAATCACTGAAAACCCTCAGTTCTGTATGTTTCAAATTCCTTATCTCCATTATTTAGTGTGCATACATATATACATACATATATTGTTATTTCCTCAAATGAGCTTGCATAAGTTTGGAAAACTGTAGAATCATATTTCTAGATTTTGAACATCTATATGGGCACTTGAGCTAAGTTTCTCGATTAAATGTGGTTCAGGTTCGTGGCCTGCCTTGTGCTCACAATTTCCATGTAGAGTGCATTGATGAGTGGCTTCGTCTGAATGTGAAATGCCCACGGTGCCGTTGCTCAGTCTTTCCAAACCTTGACCTCAGCGCGCTATCCAATATCCGGCCTGATTCTGAACGGTCATCATCTGCTAGTGTTTTGACAACAACCCGTTATGTGAGAACCCAACCTTCTTCTAGCCAGAGTTACCTGTTGAGATTGCAAGGTCTACTCCGACCAGTTCGCACAGGAAGTGTAGGGCCAGGCAGTGATGCAGATATTGCTTTGGAAACTGCTGAAAATGGAGGTCTGCCAGTGACAATTCAGGGCCCCTCAAACATGGAGGGTGGGAATCCTGTGGAATCCGCGCTTGTTGTGCAGTCAACTCCACCTCAACAATAGACTTTTTTGTTGGACTCTATTGTAATTAGCAGTTGTTGCTTCATGTTCTAACCACAAATATGCTGAAATGAAGTGTGTCCATTGACTAGTTCTGTTGACATGAGTTTTGTTCCGAAAGCATATCCATGGTCTTTTTTGGTAACCAGAAAAGAACAATAGTTTCATATCATCAAAAATGTACAAGCTGCATATGGTTCTATACATTTTGTATGAAAAGTCCTTCACCAAAAAAAAGCCCAAATATCTTCTTATGTTTTATATATATAAATGCATTCAATGAGGGCCATATAAAAGAAATTTTTCTTCTTTCTGTCATCACTTGTTGGGCTGTTAAGTTTCTATGAGCACGTCTTAAAAGGCTTTTAGTTTTCCAGAGAAGGCTAATTGGTTTATGGTAATAATGCTTAGTTGTGGCTCATTCATCAAATCCAAATAATTCCAAACTTTATTACAAACAAAAATGTTTGGGAGTTCTAAATTATGAGGTTTAACGGAGCTCTAAGGGGTGGGTCTTATGATATTTTGACCTCAGTTTTTTTTTGTTTTTTCTTTTCTTTTTGAATTTCCACCTAATTAGAGCTCCCAAAGTATGACAGCTTGGTCCTCTGCACTGGAAATTGTATCCCACTAGTGAGAGTAGCAGATGGATCACGGCAAAGGCAAAATAGAGCAAAGAAAATTAGGGTACAAGCAAAAACAGAGCCAAGCATAGGAGTATCACCAGCAAGGCTGGCCTAAATAATTACCCATTTGGTCCAAAAGTCCAGGCGCCAAATTATTATGTCCATAAGGACATATTTCTGCACAATGACTGAACTGCCCTCCATATATTTAAAACCATGCATATTATTTTATCTATCAAATCTCTCTCTCTCTTCCCGCCAGTCTTGGCCATCCCCAAACATCTTCTCTCTAGGTTTCATTGTCGATGGCAACATTCGCTTCCTTCCAGTTCCTCACCAACGGCAACCTTCGCTTCGTCTATTCCTCCGGTGTCGTCTTCTAGCACTTCAACACCGCCATCCTTTCTCTCTTCTCTTTTTTCTCTTCTCTGTTCTCTCTCCTCTTCGTCTTCTCTGTTCTGAACCAGACAAGGCCGTCATGAAGGTTCCAGAAGATGAGCCATAGAAGCTTCTAGGCAAGGCCGTCGCGAATCTCGGTGGCAGCGGAGAGTATGATAAAGATCTGTGTGTTTTCTCTAATCTATCGTCCGATCTGAAGACTTGAAAATCCGTGAAGCCCTCATTCTCTGTCGTTCGATTGTTGTGGTGCTGTCAGCGGAGTCAAAGACCAGCCGAAGAGTGGAGTCCACCAGTTGGAACATGAGCTTCGAGATCAGTACATGAATCTGAAGATTAGATTAAAAGAGAAAGATGAAGTCATTGAGCGTGCTAGGGTTTGTTCTCAAGATCTACATTGGTTGAATTCTAATTTTGTATAGTCTCAGATTTGGTTTGTATAGCCTTGAATATGGTTTTGGAAGAAACTAATGATGATGATGAGTTGTGTGTATATAGGTGTGTTAGCATATGATGGATCTTTGTGTGGATGTGTGTATTTTGTTGTTATTGTTGTTATTGTTGTTGATGTGTTGATGTTCACGATGTTGATGAAACAGATTAAAAAAACTTTGACAGATTTGTTCAAATTTTGAACAAACAATACAATTCTATACAGATAGGACATATTTGTTTTGAACAAATATGTTCAAATTTTGAACTGATAATAGGGGTTTGGTATTGTAACAGATAGGGGTTGGCTTGGTATAAATGTAAACAAATAAATATAAATTTGAACAGACAAAGAGAAGTAGAGAGAGAAACAGATAAAAAGTGAAAAGAGAAGTGGAGAGAGAAGCAGATAGAGAAAGAAAGTTTGAAAATGGTGTTAATTTGAACAAATAGGAAAAATAAGTCATAAAATTTTAACAGATAACAAAAATTGAATAGAAAAAAAATTTGAGCAGATAGATATAAATTTGAACAAATAGTAAAAAAAGTCAACAGATAAATTAAGGGATAAAATTGAAAACAAAATGTCCTTTTAGAATAACAAAAGGACTTCTCACCAAATTATTTTACAAAAGGTGAACTTCTCACCAACAAAAAATATTCACTGGACCTAATGTCTTATACCCTTTTTATATTAGATTTATCACTAATTTTCTCTTAATTATACATCTTAAAAATATTATCTTTTAATTTTTTTTGGTTGAAATATAACCAGAGAAGAAGCCATTTGAGAGAGAGAGAGAGAGAGAGAGAGAGAGTTGAAGGTAAGGTAATAAAGAAAAATTAAGAGACAATTACAAACAAATACTAGGTTTAACTCTTATAATAAAATAAATTATGAGTTTATAATTTTGCCAACTTAAATATTAATAGTTAATTTGTTTTCAATCTAAATTATTTATCTATTTTTATTAATTAAAATTGATAACAAAAATATAGTTTTCAATCTAAATTATTTATCTATTTTTATTAATTAAAATTGATAACAAAAATATATGTTTTAATTATTAAACTCAATATAAATACACATAAAATATTCACAATGGTTCACCAGCTTCATCGAGTTACTATAGCGTTTTGCTGCTGCCTAGGATTCCCGAATCTGTGTTACAAATACAATTTAAGGCTCTAAAAAAATCTCTCTTATACTATGTTTATTTTGTATATATATATATATATTGGTTTGTTTACAGAGCAATCAATGGATATATTTTCACTCCTATCCCTCTCCCTTCTTTGCTTTATTCACACTTTGATAGTGTGTGAACAAAACCGTTTTTCCTTTCCTATCATTTAAAATCCTTCTAATTTTATAGTTCGGTGAAATTAAACTATTTGTCAATTTATGCTTAAATTTTGTTAGATATGATTTAATTCATGTTGTGTAAATCAATACTATGTCTTAATTTTATTTTTATTGGATCAGATTGCGACTAATTGTTCATTGATTCTTGTGAATTTTTTGTTAGATTGTAAATTGAAATTTGATTAATTATGCTAAGGAAAAATGCTTGGGAGTATTAATTTGGTAACAATCAATTCATCCTTAATGACTTGGAATGAATCATGTAAAAGGGTGAGTCCACACTCCTCTCTCTATCTCTATATTCTTTCTCTCTCTCTTTTACGTTATTAGGGATACATTAGGGACGTTATATTAGTAGGATGTAACATGGTTATACTAAAGTGGCCAATCAGGTGAAGAGCGGGTCAAGGGAGTGAAAAAAAAGGGGGTCTAAGTCATTATTGTTATACTATATTTGTTTGCTATGATTTCTTCAGTTTTAGATTAATTGGGTAGTATTTTAGTTTTTGAAAACTGAATTTTGGTGTGGTGTAGTTTTGGTAGTTATAAATAAAAGCAAAATTTATTATTATTATTATTATTATTTTTGCATATATCCAAAGAGGCCCATGTCAGAACTTTGCATAGGGCCTTCGAAAACTCCGGGGGGCTCTGTTGGAGTTGGTTGTTATATGATGCTACCCAAAATAGGGATTCTATTTGTATCTAAAAAATTATTAAGTATGTTTAATTAAAACTTTTTATTTTTAATTTTTATTATATTTTAATATAAATTTAATAATAAAAATAATACATATTAAATTTTAAAATAAAATATTAGTTTTTACTTATAATACACCCTAATCACATATTTGTATTTTTCATCTTCTTTCCTAACTTGCAATTATTTTCTCTTCTTTTACTTCCTCAGTATAAAACTCCAAATCACCTTACTAAAACTCACTATTATCATTATCATTGTTTCTTATCCTTGTAAATAGAAAAAAATTTAAACAAAATCAAACAATGAATGAGAATAATAATGAAAATCATTTTTTAAAACATCCTATCAAAAGGAGGTAAATATTCACATAAATCTTAAAATACAATTTTTTATTTTTGTTTTTTTTGTACATAAAAGTGAATATTTGGCCTGTTTGGAAGGAGGTTAACAGATGAATACAAAATAAAACATGTTTAATAGCCCAGACTTCCAAGAACAAATTCCCTCAAATCTGAAAAACCAAATTAATACCTCCCTTTCTCAAACCACCTCCTTGGCCACCAGAGGAGCTTTGACAAGATCATACATAGCAAGAATCGCAACATACCGAACCTTGTTCATCCTCACATCATCGTCATCTTCATCATCACCATCATCGAATTCATCATTAGAATCATGAAAATCGAATCGGTTAACATCATTGCTGTTCAGACTTCTAAATCCGAACAAAGTCAACTTGTTTGGATTTGAAAGTCTAAACCAAATAATATTGTCCGGCATTTTAAGTTCGAAAATGGTGACTTCATTCTTATTTTGTTGTACCTGGAAAGGTAATTTAAGAAAACTTATAAAGTGTACTAAGAGTAACATAAAATACTAAATAATTTAACAGAATGTACTGAGAAATTGTAGTACTTTGGGTGTAAATAAAATCCCCCCTCTCCCCAAAGTAGTTGAAATGGGGCTTTAACAAAACTATTGCTGAGAGAAAGTTGTCCAAGTGGTAAGGACCCTTTTTATTAGACTCATGGTCGGGGGGTCAAGTCTCATCCCTCTCCCCCTAAGTTAGAATATATATTTGTGTTGTAAATAATATAACATTCTGGAAAAAAAAAAAAAAAAAACTAAGCTCTTGCTGATGCTCTCACCAAGAACAGTGATAAGGATATTACGTCTGCTTCAGTTCAAGAGAACTTACCTCAGAGTAGTCTCATGCTCATGGCTCAAGACAAGCCATACACGGCTGCAGCCACAACTCAAGACAAGTCACACAAGGCAGCTCAGTGTCATGCCCCGCCAAATTACCTAGACAGAATTGCCTACCAAGAGGAAGTCTCAAGGAAGGGAGGCTAATGGAATATTCTGGAAGCTCTTGAAAAACTTGAGAAAATGAGAGAATATGGTACATAATTCTATAATGTACCTTGAAGAATCTAGAATAGGTTTATAACATTTGAGTGAATATTAGAGGGATGGAAGCAATAGAAGCTTCTAAAACCTCCTAGAGAAATGGAGGTGGTAAAAGACCCTTGTACCTACTTCTAGAATAAGGTAGATGTTTGTATAGATATTTTTAGGGAGGATTCTAGAACCCTCTTGTAGGATAAGGAAAGTTTCCATGAGAAGCTTCTCCATAGTTCTTTTCTTGTGTATTCTAGAATGCTCCAAAGGAGCTTATAAATAGGAGATGAGCTCATTTGCTCCAAAAACCATCCAAGAGTTGTGTAAGCTTTCT